ATTGAACTATAGGACCCCCATTTCCTCTCGAGACATCGAATATGATATATAATTCCACAAAATTTCAAAAATTCCATCAATTTTAACCATACATGCTATTTGTTTGGATTGTATTTACATTTGTCAAAATATTTTTTGCCGCAATAATTTTTCCAAATAAATTTTTTCTTGTCTCTCCATTAGCCCAAAGTAAGAGCCAAGACGGCAAAACAATTGTACTTATATCAGATACAAGAAAGTTTTGATTGACAACAGCCTAAAATTATTTTTAAAGAACATATTTTCTTTAATTGAGCGGCATGCTGCTCTATTTTCAACACTCTCTCAGAGAGTTCTCTCTCGGAGATGTTAAAATAGAGGCACTGCGCATTGTGATTATACCAAGAAAAAGTTTTGATTTTCATCGTATGAAAGTAAAGTAGTTCCAGTTATTGCAATCATAACTGAGATGTAGATTAGCGTCTGAAATTAGATCATTAAGATTCGAATTTAACTAATAAACTAGAGTAGCATCTAACCCTTTCAGGGTCGAAGTCGGAACATGCCAAAGAGGGCATGTAGGTGTTTGGGGTCGGGATTCCTTTCAAAAAAACGTCAAAGTTTCGGAGCCAGGGTGCTACCCCATGGTGCTACCCTACATTAGCGATGCTCAGGAGAAGATAAAACCCGGGAGTCAGGTCGGGAAATGATCGAGATACCCGAGCATCACTACCCTACTATATTGATAATTAAACAGATAATGTCAAAATCCCTTATTTACCGTCGAAATAGAAATGAGTAGCTGACCAACAAACGTCCAAAAGGCGTAAAGTATCAGTCTCTTTTCTATAGCTTTTTGTAATCCGTTTGAAGCTATTTTAGTCGTTTGAGGTTGTACTTTAGTTTTGTAGACACAAAGTGTTGCTATATTGATAATTAAACAGATAAACATGAAAATGACACAGGAATAAGCTGCATCCTCTGCAGGGTTGATATCTACTATTTTTAGATCTATCGTTATTGTTTGATTGTCAGCCTGTAAATGGGCATAGAAATCATAAGAAAATATTTGTATGGTCCGGGTTAAGGGCAGAATAAAAATAAGCAGAATGGCAAAAGGTAGGAGGCGCTTCCAAGCCTAAACTCGATAAAATCTTAATTTTGTAATTATTTTTGACCTTCTCATAAGTAAATGGCCATAGAATGGAAGAAAGTCTATCAAGTAATTGTAAAGTTGTAGCTATATTTTCAGCATGTACACAATAATAACCAAAGAAGAAGGTTGTTGCTAATACACATGAAGGTAGTTGAAGGTATAAATTTGTGAATAACCCAAGCTTTGCAAAACGTTGTCCGAAGGAGATAATGAAGTTGAGAATATTCTAAAGAAAGAATTAAGACCTCCTCGCAGTTATTGCCAGGCGCTTTCGCTCACCACATATAGGAGCTTTACCACTGAGCCCCGCCTAAGCGTTTTAAATGCTTCTAGGTGGATCTGCCTTAGACTTCATAAGATTAATTTAATTTATATTTTAAATGGCAATGTAATACATAATGATTTTTCAATCAATCCCTAGAGGGGGTATTTAATTTAATCAAATTACCAATGTTGCCCTCGCAATAAGTAGCTGAAAAAAGCTGGAATTATAATCCTTCCATTTTGTAATAATTATAACAACTTCAAATAAATATAAAATAACTGATGGAACTCCGATAATTAGAGAAATAACAAACGGTAAATATACTGTGTTTGCCAAAAATACAATTGGAGCTGACAGAAAGAAGCCCATTGAGTGAATAAATTTTGAAAGGATTTCTATCAATCTGAATTAGAATTTTTGAAGAATTTGATAATATAAATTAGTCCTTATTCAATGGTCAATGGTATGGTTCTGTCAAAAGTATACCAAATTATGACTAGAAGAGCTTATCAAATGATTAAATACAGGGCTGCGATCGAGAAAACATTACGTAAAAGTACAAAAAGTTTAATTCTTAAGTACATTGAGGGAAAATTTTTTTCAAAAACATTTTTTCGGGCCGAAGCGCCAAATAATTCACTTGTTTTGTGCAGAAATCTTATGAATTTTGGTGGTCCTTAAGCCAGAATTTCATCCAAATTTTAAGAATTTTAAAATTAAAATTTAATTTTTTAACTAATAAGTCTACTTGTAAATACGTACTTACTAATAAGTACATTTTCAATTTTGGAATTACGGAGGTCGACTTGTAAGTACTGTACTTCCATTTTAAGTGCGTATCAGAAGCCTAATTAAATAAAATAATTGGACGAAATACCTAGAAAAGCTAAAATGTGCCAACAAAACTTAAGCCTATACGACTGCTTTTATCAAAAGATTGAAATTTAAATGTGCCAATTACCAAACAGATAAACACCTTTTTATTTAAAAATTTTTTAAGACTTAGACAGGTGGAATAGTAATAAGAAAATTGGTGAAAATTTAATTAAAATAATAAAATTATTAGTTTACAAAGCCTCAATAAACTAAAAAAAAGGTAAATATTTACTGGCATGATGTAAATAATTTATTTAATTATGTAGTGTTAAAGTGCTTATTAGTTGAAAAGAAAAATTTAATTATAAAGAATTTTACTATAAACAAGTTTTTATCAAGTCTGGTATAGCACAACTGTGAATTTCAAAAAAAAACACAAAATTAAAAATGTCAAGGTAAATGCCACGGAGTGCTGTACAATATGACGAGTCGTTTACAAAGCCTCAATAAACAAAAATCTTTTTATCTTTCAAACTTAAGCTTTTAGACTTATAAGCTTTCGGTTTGGGTGATGGCTAACTTAATGAATGTTAACTCAAGGAACAGACAAATCAAGGAACGACCAAATCCATATTTTAAAAATCAGAATATTTTTAAAAATCATAATTTTTCAGAATTTTTATTTAATTACGTTCATTAAACTATTCTAATCTTTTTTAAATTCTTATTTTTTAAAATATTCTGATTATTAAAAAAAATTCCGATTTTTAAAATATTCCATGATTTACCCGTTCCATGAGTTGGTTGTTCATTGACATGTCGTCCTTGGTTTGTCTGTTCCTTGAGTTAGCCCGACACGTTTCGTTTCCTGACATCCAATTTTGCTCTCACAAGAAATTTAAGAAAATCTGAAGTAATTTCACCAGAAAATACGATTTTTAAAAATTAAATTATAACCAAAATCATCTAATATTTATATTTTTTATACTACAAATTTTATTAAATATTATTAAACAATTGAGAGGATAATTATCATAATTATCGAAAAAAATATAAATTTAAAAGTCTACAATTCATCTATAATTAATTTAAAATAATTTTAAAAATCCAAATTTTCAATAAAACACAATTTCCATCAAAGGTTCATATTTGCTAATTAATTGTCTGTTTATACCCGTACCCGTGCAACAAACAGTCAAAACTAATTTAGACTCTCTATTTAAATTTTTTGCTTTTTCAAGAGCTCCTTTAAGCATTTCCAACACGGAATCATCCAAATTCATATTTTGACTTAAATCCAATTGTTGTAATTTGTTTAGTTTAATTGAACAAATTAATTGTTTGATGGAATTGCTTGAAAAGAAAATTTAAGAAAAAATTTTTTTAATTCGACCCTCATTTCTATATAATCCGAAAAGTGTCTATAAGACAAAAATTCAGAGTGGGGGTGATAAAAATCTAAACTTATTTTTGTAGAGATATTGTTGAAAGATTACAGAAACTTCCCGACTATTTAAGAATATTCTGTTCGGCGTGATTCCCGATAAAATTCCAATTTCCGAATTCGGGAATCCGGATCCAGAAACTAAAAATAGTTTGGAATTTCTGAGTTTCATGAATGGAAATCAGGAATGCTAAATCAATGGCATACTCCCAAAATTATGTTAGTTAAAATTTAGTTTCCGTTGACTGGGAGGGTTGGAGTGGTCGTGGTTGAATGGACCCCAATTTAAGATACCCCACATATATAAGGTTTCAGTCCAAGGTAGTATCGAAAGTATCGAAAAATGAAAGTCAACTATAAAATTAAAAATAAACTTCGTTATTGTCTCACACCCAGAAAGTGAAAGTCGCTCAAAACGGTCAGAATTTGAAAAGGCTTTGGCATTGGAAAATAGATCACAACTTATCCCAGAGCATTTTATTAGTTCTAGCTTTAAAAAATTTAAATATTTTTTATTTAAAAATAAGACAATTCTGTTGATAAGACCCTCCACAAGTTTTTATTAAATTTTTTTGACTATCCTTCAGGGCAATATGTGATCATAGAATAGGCGAAAATTCAAAAATATCACATGAGAATTAAAAATTATTTTGGAATTATTAAATAAATATTCTTTGAAGAAAAAGGGCAGAATTAAGCCCCTATCCCCTTAGAAAAATACCCAAATTTCAAGCAAGGATTAAATTAATATATGTATTTTTTATGTCTGAAATGGTCTCATTTTTATTCGAAAAACTAAGTACCACTTAAATTATTTAATTTTTTAAATTTCAACTTAATTATGAAAGTGTATTTGCTTCTTTGCATGTTTTTTATATGCATTATAATTTACTTAATAATGGATAATTTACTCTATAGTGAGCAACAAGTTGATTTGATTAATGAAATCTTTTGGTTTAAATGATTATTTATATTTTTTGTTCTATTTAATTTTGTAATTCAATCAAATTTTCTTGTTCTTAAAAATAAAAATGTTTAATTTTTTACTTTATTTTGTTAATAATTTAAGAAAATTCGGGCTAAAAAGCCAAGCAAAAAAAATGTTTAGGAAAAATTTGGACCATTTTAGATTAATTTAGGAATCTCCTAGAACTTGCTAAATAAAGCACAAAATTTGCTAAATCAGTGAAAGAAAGGAAGAAAAAATATGGGCTAACTTTTAATTATAATTAGAGACCGGACGGAATACGGTACGGTAAAATTATGAAATTTATCGGTATTTATTGGTATCGGTATTTTTCGGTATTTCCGGAATACCGTTCAGTGCGCAATTTCGGTCTCTAATTATTATAGCTATTACCAAAATTAAAAAAATAACACTTAAAGAAGGGAAGGGTCTCATCTTCAGTTTTATCAAACAAAATTATTTTTTGTACCTCTTTTAGTGCTGTACATTTGGAAACTATTGACAAGATACCATCATCATGGACCTTTGGACACTCATTTATCCTCACAATTCTTAACCTTCCATGTTGTGCCAATCCTTTAAGAGCCTCATCATTCAATGCTTTACTCTTCTCAATGTCCAATTGTGTCAAACAAGTGCAAAGAGATAAAGCACTGAATTCTTCCAATCGTTGACAGTTTAATAGGGAAAGTTGTCTTAATTGGTCTTTCAATATTCCCCCAAGCATCGATTTTAAGGAATTCCCATCTAAGGACATGCATTCCTAAAATTTAATTTAAAAAATGTAATTTTAAAACAGGCTGCCGAGATTTGCGACAAGACATTTGCGGAAGAAACCTAAGCCTAATACAGCTCACTTAAGATATGGACCTCACCATAATATTTACGGATTTGGTAGGATACTAGGTGCACCGTTTTATGGATAATTATTATCGTTGACAGTTTAATAGAGAAAGTTCTCGGTATTTCAGTACAGAATACCGTGCAGCACAAAATTCCGGGCTGTAATTATTATCTTGTTTTTAGAAGATTAAATCATTGTATGTATGTCTCCTTTATATCACTGACTTTATGCTTTATTTAATGAAAATTATCCTTTCGTCGAGTACATAAATGATACTTCATTATAATCAAGAGTTTCAGCCTAAAGGATAGTGAATCCGCCTGTAGATTTGGACTAATTTTTTATAAAAAATTTTCGGGTTTTTGCAAATCTCAGTACAGCTTGTTCTGCCTAAACCTTCAAATGTAAATGTTTTAATTCAGTAGCATTGCCGATTGGAGATATATCGAGGAAATGGGAAGTATAAGGAATATATCCAAGCCAAAGAGTCCTCAATTTAGGCATTTTTCCAATTTGGCCAATTAATGTTTGAAGATCAGCCGTTTTTCCTTTTTTGGGTCTCCTCAAAGGAATATTCCCATTCTCTTCTTTATAACGCTGTCTTTCCCTAATTTCCTGTTTAGTAAAGCCTAGGAAAGCTGTTGGAACATTAATAGCTGATGTAGTAGAAGCAGCAACCAATTGAAGACATTGCCGAGGCATTGGACAGAGGTGGAGGCAAATTAGTTGATTATTTTGATTGAGGAAATTAACGAGGGTATCAGCATCGAGTTGTCGGGCTTCACTAACATCGAGATATCTAAATATATTTAGGTTATCTTTTAGAGCTGTAGTCAAACCTCATTTTTAAATATCCCCTAAGAGCTAAAAACCAGTTGTGAATAATCGGAAATAGATAGGAACTTGGAAATTATCGTAAACTTTCGTAAATCGAAAGGAAGAAAGTCAAAACCCAGATTCAGACCAATTCCGAGGGTATACCCAGTCACATATCTAGTGGCCAACAAAATTTTATACTGATTCAATCTAATTTAAGAGATATCTTAAAATTAAATTAGACTATACGTGAATTTAATTCTTACTCTAATTGACTTCCTTCAATTTTGACCAAATCATCCAATGGCCCACCAAATTTGCGCAAATTAAGTCTGCGCAAACGATGCATTTTAGGGAGGAACTGCGAAGCCTTAGCTTCATTCTGACGAGAATTTTCACCAATCCAAGTACTTTCTTCAAGTGAAAATTCTTCAAGTTGAGGAGCTACATGCTCGAGAAGTGGTAAAATGTCTGCATTTATTCTAACCCAACCCATTTCTAATTTTGTTAATTGAAAACATTTTCTGAAATAAATTTTTTGAATTGAAAATATTTTTAAAATAAAGTCTAAACTCTTTTATATTTTCCAAAATTGTTTGAGAAATGACAGGCCATGAATGATTAAAGTCAATTTCACGAATATGAGGCCCTGCTCTGTCCAATATGCCCCCAAGTTTTTGCTCAATTAATCCAGCACTCTTCTGTGGAAAAATAAATTTAAAATAAAAATAACTATAATCGGTTTAAGAGTTAAATTCAAGTCCTTTTGACAGCTTCAAATTTTCGGTTTGATAGAATTATCAAGGTTCTGACAAGTAGAAAATCGGGATGACCTCTTCCGCATTTTAATAGAAAAATCAGTCCAACAAAACAGTGATTTAGAAATTTGTTTGGCCACGGGGTAAAGGATACCATATTTTTAAGTAGCCTCACATGAGCAGAGGTGGGTCGGAATTCTGATTCCCGAGTTCCGTTGTTATTTTCCTTCCGATTTCCAGCGTTTTTTCCTTTCAGTTTCCGATTTCCGAAAAAGAATTTTGATTTCCGATTTCCGAGTTCTGACTTTTGAGTCAGTTCCAATTTTCGGCTCTTCGACTGTTTCGATCCACCTCTGATCATAAGGTATAATTTTTATATAATTTTTCAGCTCCAATAGAGCATATTAAAATGAGGATTGACTCATAAAATTTTCATTGAACTCTTAAAGTTCCATTGGACCCTCGAACCTCACTAAATCAAAAATTTATTTAAAAATTTTACATTTTCATCAGACAAGTCTCTCGCACAATTTTCCCTCACAAATTCATTTAAATTTATTTTTTTCATTTCCGAATGTGTTGCATAACTCTTCAATGAATAAAGATCAGAAAAACTAAAAATAATTAAAATCCCTAATTTTTATCTAAAAATTACTTGCCCGAATTATTTTTAGCCATCGACGGCAAACCAATTCAAGTTTAATTTTCTCTTGAAAATCAAAATAAAAAAATATTTTAACCAAACAGTCATTATTTATTAATTCCATTTATTAAATAATTTAATATTTTCATTTAAATATTTTTACTTTAAATTTTTTTTTGAAAATTTTAAATTTTTTAAATTAATATTTAGTTGGCTAAATTTATGTTATAATATAAAAAAAATATTTTAAATATTTTAATTTTAATAAAACTCGAAATAATCAGATATATGTATTTGTTTGTTAAGGTGAGAGTGCCGTACAATCAGTGGTTATAATTTTGAAATTTGCTCGTACGAGTACTTCCGTACCTGCCTATTTTTGCTTTGTAGTCGTACATGCTCATAACCGTCATAACCGTACTTAACCGTACTTCGTACACGGGTAGTAAGAATTTTGGTATGAGCTTCCAACCACTGCATATACTAGGTAATTGAGAAAAAAACTTATAACTAAAAGGGATTCATTAATTAGGTTAACAATTAATTACGAAGACTGATACAAATTGAAGGAGGGTATTGATAGTGCCCGTTATTTCGTATATGTCTGGTGCTAAAAACTTATTTCACTTAGATCGTAAATATGCTAGCTTAGATATACATAACTGGGGATTGTCGGTTCTTCTAAAATTTTTGGTTATCGAAAAATCTTAGATTTTTCGTTTCGGTTCAGAATTTAAGATATAACATCTTAATAAAATAAATGAATTATAACAAAGTTTACTTTATAATTAGACACTATCGGATAAATAAGTTAATTTAATAATCAGATAATATGCTTATAAAAAATCATATTTCTGCCTAAAATACATAAGTTTTAATATACAAAATCTAAAAATTTTACATTTAAATAACCAAGCTAAAACACAAAAAAAAATTTAAGGGAAATTTAAAAATAAATAAAATAAAGGAAAAATGAGCCGACTTTCAAACTTTCAATAAAAACTAAAGAAAACACACTTGAAAAACTTTTTAGTGTTTTTGCCATATTGCACTCATAAAAACTTTGTGGAAAAAAAATTTTTGGGAAACAACTGCTTCTTCCAATAATTTTACTCTTTTTTTCTTTAAGTTGATCCCAATTGACATTTATTTGTTTTATGAAAGAAAAGACTAAAAAAATAAATGGAGTTAACGAAGAGGAAGTTTTAGGATAAAATAAGGAAAAATATACAAGCTCGTCTTGAAGATTAAGACAAAAATTGTCTCTTGAAACCAGAATAAAAAGCGTCTAGAAACGCCAGTTTATAGATAATGGTTCGGTGATCGAGTTTGATTATCTGGAGAGGATTACGTTAACCTTAGATAACTAGAAAAAATTAGTAGTAATCATATCTCGATTTTACACAGCTTACATCAATCACGATTTGTTTTTGTGTAGAATTTCTGGGTATAAGTTTAGCTTCTGGGTAGGAAGTTAGAATGTTGATAATAAATCAAGTTCACAAAAAAATTTTCAGTCCCAAGGATGTATGCAAGATCGAGAGTTCACTGTATATTTTTACTCGAATTTTGAATCAAGCTAAACTCGGTTTATTGCAACAAAAATAACATTTTTATTAAAATAATATTTAAAAATAGAAAATATACTTTTTTTATTTGTTTATTTAAAATAATTTTCCATTTTTAAAAATAAATATTTGCTTTTCAAAATTTTTTTTGGAAATAAAGTACATCAAGTCTGGCAAATTTTAAATAAAAATAAATAAAAAAATAAAAATAAATTTTTAAAATAATTTTGGAAAATAATAAAAATTAAATAAATCAACAAAGAATTAAGGAAATTTAGGCTCAAAAAATTTTTCTTTGATTAACGTATCTAGGAAACCACCCGACATTTTTCTGACACAATCCATTTCTGGATTGTGTCGAGACATATAAATTATAAATCAAAAAATCATGTTTTTTATTAAAATGTAAATTACCTGCCAGGGATGGGACGGGTTACACGAAACACGATACCCGATCCGAAGAAAATTTTGAAAACCCCGATCCGAAACCCCGACTTAGCTTTTTTCTCAAGCCGACCCATCCCTTGTATGTACCTCTACCTCCAAGTAAAATGCACTTTCTAAAAATAAAAAAAATTAGAAAAATTAAAAGAAATTAAGCAGATGTGTAAATTTATTTTTGAAAATATTTTTAAATTAATTCCGGAAATATTACCTTTTTTAAGCAAATAAAAAGAACCACACATAACAATTTTGGACTATTTAATGGAGTGAAATTTAATTAAAAATTATTAAATATTCATAATTTTAATATTTATTAAATTAAAAATAAATTAAAACTAAAAATGTCTTTGGTAGTAACTATTTCTTTTCTATTCATTATTTCGATTAACGGTGAGTATAAAGATAAACCCGGGGAGTAGCACCGGTCCGGGGAGTAGCACCAAATAAGGTTACTCACATTATAGCAAAAACAGTCGGTGGTGAAATGTTTAATCTCCTCGGAGACCGTCAAGACCTTCAAGATCCTTCAAGATCAAGTCCGTCAAATCTTTTGTGATTTTCTGATATAGGTTTGACCGCTTTATTCCAGTAGGAACTCGATACACGAAATTGCATTTTTTACATTTAAATCAATCCCATTTCTGGATTGGGTAGTGCAGATTTGGCATTTAATCTTAAAATCCGTTAAATCCCAATATTTTTGAAAAATATGTTAAAATAATTTTAGGAGTTTCTTCGTTTGGAAAAGACGAGCGTAATAGCATTACAAAACTGATAAATAATCAACGCTCTGCACTTGCAAATGGAAAAATGTCAAATTTACCGACAGCTTCAGATATGAATACATTAACATATTCAACATTATTTGAAGGAATGGCACAATCGCTAGCTAGAGATTGTTCTATGAATAATATGGGTGGAGGAGTTAGTCATTATTCAACAGACAAAATAATACAAACTAATGGTTATTTAATTTATATTTTGAAAGTTTTGGAGGGTTAGAGATAGGAGCCAGGGATGTGCGCCAGAATTTTCGCATGGCGCGCCAAACGCCAAACGCCAATTTTTCAAATTTTCAAATCACGCCAAACGCCAGAACGCCAAAATCGGCCAAAAACGACGCCAAAACGCCAAACGCCAAAACGCCAAAAATTTTATTCTACTAAGGCCTGAAAAACCAGTATTTATCTCTTTTTAGCGCCGCAGGCGAAAATTTTTGAATTTTCACGACTTCCAGAAGCCAAAATTCATCCTTTTTTAGCGCCTATACCCAAAATTATGGAAATTTGTTAAGAACAAGAGCAAAAATCCTACTTTTTGTAAAAAATTGCAAGAAAAATGGAAAAATCACAACCCCAGAATTGTAGAATATCGAAGGGTTTAGATGTCCAGTTGTCCTCTTTAACCTCCAAAAGTATGGGACTTAGAAAGGATTAAGTGGACTTTGGTAGATTAATAGGATTGACCACACAGCAATGGTAGCCAGAGGTGAAAATTTCTTGATTGTTGGAAAGTTAATAAGTAGATTTCTTACTTTTTTGTGCGCCGCAGGCGAAAATTTTGAAAATTTTGGAAGACTGCAGGCAAAAAAATTTCATTTTTTTGAAAAACTTCCCCCATTTATTTGGAAAATTCCCATCATTAGGGGTGTATAATTTTGGCGTTTTGGCGCGCCAAAAGATGAAAATCACGCCAAACGCCAGGACGCCAAAATCGGCCAAAAATCACGCCAAAACGCCAAAACGCCACGCCAAAACGTCATGACGCACATCCCTGATAGGAGCGAGATGAAAATCTTTTAAAAGTCTGTCATGAAAATTGAGATTTTTCGAAATATAAAACCATCTATAATAACAAGAAAATTGGGAGCCATCTGATTATAAACAAATATTAGGTCAATTACGGGTTTAAATCAACCACCCATCGTCCTATTTCTGGGGGTGGCATTATATTCGGATTTGACTGTACCGTCGAAGCTCATGACACTTCTCTTCATACCTTAGTTCAATTCGGCCTGGGAATGTCTTTATATCTCTATATCAGCATACCATTTTAATTTCCCCAAGAGAGGAAGGATAATTTATTTTTAAATATCCTAGATGCTCTATTCCAAGAAGCAGTAGATGCCTGGGCATCGGAAAGTAAAGATGTAGACAGTAATAGTCTTAAACCTAGTGAAAATGCCAAAAATTTTGCACAAGCATTTTATTCAAAAAATACACAATTTGGATGTGGAAAGGCTCCATGTTCTGGGAAAACATTTTTAGTTTGCATGTTTACCCCCTAGTAAGTTTTCTACTGAAATAAAAAATTTCAAAAAAATTTTTCTTAGTGGCCCAGCACAAACAATGAATGGCCCATTATATAAACAAGGCGAAATTTGTGGAAATTGTGCCAATAATAATTGTGATAAAGGAAGTGGTTTATGCATTCCTAAAGTCAATAAGCTTATTATAGATTAAAAGAGGATATTAGTTGATGATTTGAAATTAAAATGAGAAAATAAATAAAGTGTATTGTAATCAAATAAAATAGATAAAATTATTTCTATATTTTGTAAAATTTTGGAAATAATAAAATCTTGTGGTATTCAGTTATATCGGCTACTTTTAGCCGTAAATTCAAAATATTTTATCAAAAAAGCTCCTTATTGAAGAACAAATAAGAACCGAATTCGTCAAGACATACACTTGATATTAGTTCAACTTCTTATACTTTTAATTTTTAAATTTAACCCTATAACTAGAGATGACAACTAAATAGCTAGAGCAATAAATAGCTAGAATCTGCGGTCCATTATTTTAACGGTTTCGTGGTTTCGATTCTGAGGTTCCAAAATCTTAAGTGTTACCTGGTTTTGTTAAACGTTCCCGGAACCTAGAAAGAATGTACACAATCTATATTTTGAAATTTATATATAGTATAATAGGGATTGAACTGGAACGGGATCTACTTGAAATATTAGCTATTCAAGATATGTCTCTAGTCTAAATCTTTTCTCACCTTTATTATCTAAATAATACTATAAAAATTATATTTTTAATTTTATTAATAAAAAATTAGTTTTTAAGGTTAAGCAGCTGCTTTAATTATTCATACAAATAAGAAACAAGTGATATTTCCTAAGGTTGAAATTTATAAAGTTCTTACTAAGCAAAATATTAAATATTTTTGGTTATTAAATGTTTTTTAAAAAGTTTTTAAAAATTAATTTGACATTATAACTAAATGAGTAAATAACATGAAATAATTTTTAATATAAAATAACCCAAAAATTAGCTTATCAACATCAATTCAAATAATTTAAAATTTTAAGAAGACTTAAACATTAACTGATTAACATGCAAAAGGTTTGTATAGGTATTTTTAAAAAATTGAGGATAACCAAAAATTAGAACCCTCCATATATTAATTTATTCAAATGGCACGCGGACATATCGTGATATTTTAATGTATGAACAGTTACACGACTGATTTCGGGACCTAAGGCTACTGGATCTTGGATAGTATATTGTGGAATAGTGTTTCCGATATATCCGCCCCAATCCCGATATATCCGTCCCGATAGGTCCGCACACCATTCAAATTGCTTATTGTAGTGGAAGGGATATTTTTAAATATTCAGAACTTCTTGAAAATTACGGTCATAACTACTGACTAGTGATGCTCGGGAGAAGAAAAACCCGGGAAACGGGAGTCGGGAATTGACATCAGGATCGGGAGGCCAAAAACGCGGGAAAATTTCCCAACTTGGGTGTCAGGCTCGGTAACCCGTGCATCATACAGAACGGATTTTTATCCTAATTATATTTTCTGTACCGAAGTTAGAACTAAATATTATTTCCAGTTTCTTCCCGTTCTTCTTGTCTTCCTTTTGGCTGCAGAAATTTTAGTTGTCTCTGCTCGCTTCTCAAAAACCAAGAAACCAAAGGACGAAACAACAACTCTTGCTACTGAACCAGAAGATATAGAAAACGACCCAGCACCAAAAAAGTGTGGCGGTTGTAAAAACAAATGTAAATGTGGATATGACGTGGGGGAGATTTTTAATTATTTCCTTTAAAAATTTTTTTAATTATTAGGATTGTAATAAATGCTATTGCAAGGAAAAATGCTGGGCTTAAAAGAATGTAGAAATCAAAGAAAGGAAAATAAAAAGAGAGATAAATGAAATTTAATGGATAATTAAATTTATTAAAAATAAATATTAAATAAAATAAATATTCTTTAAAATTGATGTAATTTTTCTCAGCTCAACGAGCTCTATAGGATAACATTTAAATAATTTATCCACAAAAACAATAGAATTTTTAAAAATTATTGACAGCCCCAAAGTAAATGGTGTACGGAATTTTGGGCTCTGAAATTTTGGTCACCAAACTGAAAAAATGAATTTTATCTAAAACTGATATAAATGTGAAAAGATATTTTTACCGGCTGATCACTTATCCGGAAAATCGATTGACCGGTAGAGTTATCAGCCGGGAGTGAAATTTATAAACTTAGATTTGAAAAACATTATCTTATCACATTTATATGTATCAGTTTTAGATAAAATTCATTTTTTCAGTTTGGTGACCAAAATTGCAAAAAAATTGGTGACCAATGTTCCGAAAAATCGTAGTGACCAAAATTCCAGTGACCAAGTAAATAAGTTCTCGCGCAATTTTATATATATTTTTTGAAATATGGTTGGCCATGGAGAAGTTCTAATAATTAAATTCGGCTCTATCTTAGGACATACGTCCCATGAACTTTTATGCGTCCCATGAAAGTATATGCGTCCCATGAACTTTTACGCGTCCCTTGAAGTATATACGTCCCAACATTAATATGTATAAGTGCAAAACAATTTGTAAATATTTTATAGCTAAACGTATTTACTCGATTAATTCCCCTCTCTCAAATAATTCCCCCTGCTACGGATTAGTTGAAACAATAATCCCCCTCCCCCAAATATCCTACTACACGTTCAAATTACAAAACTCGAATAATCCCACCCCTTGAATATTCCCCATGCCACGGATGTGTTGAAAAAATAATTCCCCAGGGGAATTAATCGAGTAAATACGGTATACCTTGATATCCGCCTTAGAAAAAAAAGGATACATTTTAAATATGAAGTTATTTTATGGTTATTTTATTGTCTATATTTAATTGATAGGGGAAAAGTACTTTATTTTACTCTTGTATTCTCGTATTATGAAATTTTAAGATTAAGTAAGGTCTCATCTATGTTAGTGGAATTGGATTGATTTTTTTGTAAAAGAGTAAAGGAAATTTAAATTTTGCCGCCTTATTTTTATATTTGCACTTTTAGTCATCTGTTTTCTAAAGTACATACCTTATTTAATGTTGATCGCCTTTAATTTTTAATATTGAAAATCTAATAAGAGTAATATATAAATCTCTCCGTTTTATGAAGTAAATATACATAGAATAAAGCAGAGCTGGGCTATAGCTATTTCTCTCCCTTAAGCTAGTGCAAAAGTTTATTCGGCGGCTGGGAACGATCCAGCATCTTTAGGCTGCGGGTTCTATTACCCGAGTAATAGAACACGGCTGCGGGTTACCCTAACCCTCATTTATGAATAAGGGTTCTGGATTAACCTACCCGCAGCTGAGAATTGGTTAACCCCCACCTCGTTCTCTGAATACGGCCCTAGGAATGATGTTTTATCCAGACCTGCTCATGGATACGGATACAGATAATATCAAAATGCCTGCGGATATCCGTCTGTATCCGCCGTAAATATGCGGATACAGATACCAAGATCAATATCCGTGACCAGGACTGATGTTTTATCCATTACACCACGCCGCCTACTGTACAGCCTTAGGTCTAAAATGGCGTAGTGACAGAAGACCCACAGACAGAAGACCCAAGGACAGAAGAACCACAGACAAAAGACCCACAGACAGAAGACCCACAAGGACAGAATACCCACAGACAAAAGACCCACAAGAAAATTTTTTAACTAAAACTTTAGAAAATTTTTTTTGAAATTTCTGAAAGAGATTTCCATTTTTCAAAACACAAAATTAATTCTAAAGTTAACCAATAAAATTTTTACCGTTAAATTTTATAGATGAGTTACCGTTAAATTTTATGGATCTTAACAAGTGAATCGGATATGTCAGGGAATTTAAATGATGTAAACTTTAAGATTTTATAATTCCACTAATCCGCTTAAATCCACCGATATCCCTCCATTTACTCAGAAATAATTAACTAATCTACTATTCCAAAGATCCCCGATGTACTTGCATATCCTTGATCGCTTATAATCCTTCTATACCCCTCCATGGGACCTAACTAACTCTCGCTATAATCTAGTTAATCCTAAATACCCCTTGATCCTAAATATCCCTTTGATCTACTTTTCCCTTTCATCATCACTGACAAAAAGTTTGGGAATTTTGAAAGACCAAGAAGCCAGATTTCTACTTTTTTAGTGACACAGGTGCGAATTCTGAGAATTTGGGAAGGCCAATTAGTTATTTTTACACTATTTTTTTATATCTGATTTTTTTAAACGACATGGACCGGATTTTCCGGGACAAAATCCCGAAAATCCGAGAAATCAAGATCCCTCTTCATTAAACAAGCTCCCCCGTTGTTGCAATAAGATTCCCCATTGTTAAAATAACATCCACGTTGTTGGAACAAACTTCCCGATTGTTAGAACAACCTTCCCTAATATTGAAACAACTTTCCCGTTGTTGGATCAATCTCTTATTAAGGAAAACAGAACTAACAACAGCAATTTTAAAAAAATGTAAAACAAAAAAGTTGTGGGTATTTTGTCTTTGGGTATTCTGTCCGTGTGGGTCTTCTGTCTGTGGGTCTTTTGTCTGTGGTTCTTCTGTCCTTGGGTCTTCTGTCTGTGGGTCTTCTGCGTAGACACGGTCTAAAATAATATAATAATAAGTGCCCAGATCTTTAGGTCCAGAATATATTTTATTAATCTGGATAATCACTCAAGCTTTTTTGCCTTTAATGTCTGCTTAATTATTTACATATTTCTATTATTTATTATTAAAATTTTAGATGATTAAATTTATGATTAAATTTATTAAAATTTCTCTATTAGTCCTGGCTTTGCTATTAAATATTCAATGTGATGGAGAAAAGGTTGAAGTGAAAATAAAAGATGATTGGAAGGAAAAAAGAGAATTTATTTACTTAAAAAACGTTGAATTAAAGGATCGTTTTATATTGAAAAGAATTGAAAGGTTTCACAAAAGATATTGCAGCTCTGATTATAATATACTAAATGGATTTTTGAGTAAAATTGAATTAAACCCACAAAAAAATACTTTTAACGTTAAAATAAGTGATGGATTAGAATATGCTATGCTAGAATTAAAAATGAGAGTTTTAATTGAAATTGGCAATAAGGAAAGTATTCAAAGATTTTTGCCTGGATTTGAAAAACGGGTATTTTATATTTTAATTATTCGAATATCAGGCAAAAACTCGCTTAATTTTTTCTCATTTTTTAATTTCCTCAGAAAAAATTAGAAAGAAGTGCTTTTTCAATATTTTAGAGGTCCAATTGTAAGGATGATTCACCTAGCAGCATTTAAAACGCTTAGGCGGGGGATAAACGATCTAAAAAGGAAAAAGAGAAAGCATTAGTCGATGCTACGGTAGCTCAGAGGTAGAGCTCCTGCATATGGTGAGCGAAAGCGCCTAGCAACAACTAGCAGGTGGTCGCAGGTTCGAATCCTGCCCGGTGGCTAAACTTTTGCAAACTCTTTCTCAATTTATATTTATTTAGAATCCAGGATACGAACTCGAACTCAAGGAAACGTGGCAATTGATATGCAACTGGGCCATAAAATTTTAATTTCTAATACTAAATTGGACTCGAATTTGTTTCCTGTATTCAAAATAAATAAAAGTTGACCTAATATTCAGACTCAGCACACTTAATCACCCACTGACAAACTTTTGAAATATTGAAGAGGCACTTTTTTCTAATTTTTAAAGGGGAGTGTTATCGAAGTATTTATCAACTCGAAGTATTACCCCTATTTACTTTGAAGTTTAATATTCTTCATAAATTTAAGGTACTCCGACATAATAATTTCATTAATAAGGATAATCATTATGAAACCTCCATATTAGATGAAAATTTTGAAAAATTAAAAATAAATAAAATTGAATTATTGAAAGAAAGTATTGATAGTTACAAAAACGAACTTTTATCAAATTATTGGACGGAAATTAATTTAATTGGATATAAAATTGAATTGTTAGAAAAACAAAAAGTTGAATACCCGAAGGAATTGAAAAGCGAAATTATTTACAGTGGCAATAAAATAAGTAAATCTTGGATTTTTCCCTTCATTTTAAAGAAACATACATACTTATAATATTTTAAATAGGGTTGCCAAAATGGACCGGCTCGACCGAAAGATCGAGTCGGGCCTAAATGTCTGGCCTGAAAAAGACTCCTATAGACCAGACTCGATAAAGTGCCCGAAATTGACTCGTACAGGCCCGAATCGTTATAAACAAGCCCAAAAAATGCCTCGACCGTCGGCCCAACTCGAAAACTTCAACTCTAATTTTAAATATTATAGGTGAACTTAATGAAAGAAATGGACCATATTGTTTCAATTGTGGAATTAAACTAAATAAAAAATGGTATAAATACCTTAAAGGAAAATATTTGTGCACTACATGTGGCGTGTATCTAACGAGGAATGGAAAGCTTAGACCTAAAGAAATGCGGTTTAGAATTAAAAAGGTTTATCAATTTTTAAAAAATTTAAATTAAAAAACTTTCCAATTGACCTGTACATTTGTAATTTAAAAGAACTTTTCTAAGTTCAGAACTTCAAGTACTAATTAATAATCTTTTTTATATTCAGAAGGATCGTCAATGTTATATTTGCGAAGCTACAAAAACATCAGCTTGGTACCAACATTTAGAACACGGGCAATACTTATATTATTGCCATAAATGTTACAATCGGAAAAATTACACAAATAAGTATAAAAATAAAAAAAATATGGAAAATGAATTGAATAATTATTAATTCTGAGTTGTACTGAAATTTTTTAAGAAGGCAAAATGGATATGAAAAAGATATTGAGAACGAAACATTTAATTATGTGATATGAATAACCTTTAATCTTTTCTATTGTCCTTCGATTTTCAATTTTAATATTTCATTTTTTAAATTTCAATTGTTTTTTCTATCTTCAAGCATACCGTAGTTATTCTATACCGAAATGCTTTCGTTCGAATTTTTGAAGCTCAATCCAGTTAAGGGATCACGATAATTTTTTTCCAATTTCCAATTAGTTCATCCAAAAATATAAGAATTTTGCCTGTGATGCCGAAAACGGGAAGAATGTGGCTTCAGGGATATAGGGAACAAGTGTGGGACTAGTGAGGGATTTATGGCCTTTCGAGAATGAAAAATTCGATATCGAGAGAGGAATTACTGGTAATATCGGCGGATTTGAAGGTATATCTGGGGATAGGTAGGGATATCAGGAGATGTGGAGGGATTAGTGAATATAAAGGGGATTTGGGGATATCTGAAGGGATATCTTGAGAAATGGACAGATATCAAGTGTATCGAGTGATATTGATGGGTTAAGAAAAATAATGATGGATCTGGTATGATTAAGAGGTATATCAAGGATTTTTAGGGGGAGGGTGGGGGAGGCTACTGAATAAATGAATTCGTTATGCTAATCTATTAAGAAGGTCGAAGGCGATTCAAGTTGGCAACTAATATTTGTGTAACTCAGTGATACGAAAACACTAGAAGGATTCTAGTGTAAGTAAAAATACCTTGACAAATATAATAATTTTATAGAATTTTAGAAAATAAATAAGAAAATATTAAAGCAAGGAAAGCAAAGACTAGAAGAATCACAAAATTTAAAATAAGACACAAAAAAATAAAATTAAGGGCATTTAACATCTTTTAGTTTCGTATAAATATTTTGAAATCCTTCCAGATTACCAGCACCATATAAAGCTGTTACATAAGGAATTCCATCCTCACATTTTTCGTCTTTATTCAACTGAAATTTAAAAGAAACATGTTAATTAGAAAGATTCGGGATTTATTTTTAAATTAGAATTCTTTAAAGGGGGATGATTAGGATCTTAGACAGTGTCTTTAGAAACGGGAAGAAGGCGGAAAATAATTTTTATTATCCACTTAAATTTTAAAATTAATATATAATTTACCCCATTCCCCACACGAAACATTTCTTTATGGTCAGCTCTAGTAACATTTGCTAAATCAGCCAAAATTCCAGTAAATAAGACATCGTCCATATTAAATCCAATTACTTTATTTATGTGTGGCATTGTTGCCGTTATTGCTTGACTGGAATTAAAATGGATAACTATAATAATTTAATTTGTTATTAGTGCTGTCAGTACACGTTTTTGAAAAATTTTTATTTTATTTTTAGGTCCTCTTACATTGGGAGGTAGCGCTTAAGCATCTTACTCACCCAATGGTTATCCAAAATTTAAAAAATTGAGGGCCAACTTTATCATGTGTAGATTTATGGACTACTTGTTCCCAGGAAAAGTTTTCTGCTTGGAGGTGGGGAGGGGGGGGGTAATACAAAAATAAAAGAAACGCTCAGAAAATTTTTAAAAAATTTCCTTTACAAACCTCGAAGCAACATAAGAAGCTCCTTGCATATAAGGCGGATAACTACTGCCTTTATAAACATTTTCTGAGACATACCTTCAAAATAATTTATTAAACAATAATTATTCTTATTAAAACAACCATTTATGTTTAGGATCTCTAATCGGCCCAACCCCATTAATTATCCACCCAAAATACATTGCTTTATTCTTTTCAATTTCTTTAGTGAATTTTTTGTCTATCCAATTATCAAGTCTAGGCAAATGAACAATTGTATCATCGTCAGTTTTCATTATCCATTTTGTTTGGGGACAAAATGCTTGTTGCCATTGAAGGGCGGCTAACCACTGAAACGTGATAAAAATATCATGCTTGGTAATGAATACGGAGATGGATACAGATACGTTCAAAATGTCTGCGGATATCCGTCTGTATCCGCCGTAAATATCCGAATATGGATACCAAAATCCATGTTTATTATCAAGTCTGATAAATATAATATTCTATTTACCTTTGAATAAGGTAATTTCCAGGAAAATTCACAGGAATAAGGTAATTCCCTTATTGTTAATAAATAGTAAGTATACCCCCAATTTACTGTGAATTTACTTTACCAAAGGGCTAATAGCCAATATTAAAATTAAAAAATTTTAAATTATTCAGCATATCTCATTGTAAATTAATCTAATTTGAAAAAATTTGAGATTTAATTAGACTAAATCACCTAATTAGGGCATCTAGCTTGAGGCAAATTAATTCCAAAATTAGAAAAAACCCGAAATTTTGGACGAGATTGGGATTGGATTTGGTCGGTTTCCAATGCGTTACTATCTTTTCAGAAAGAGATGGTCGCATTGCTTGAAACATGAACTTTTTTCGGCTCGAAAGCCCAACCGAAGAAATTTTTCGCACGAATTCTGATGGTGAGAAAAGTGAGAATAGCTGTCATATATTTTTTAAATATTTTTAACGATTTACTTTAAAATGTAAATTTGCATAATTGTCTTCAATTCCATGAAGGAAAATAAAATCTTTATTTTGCATTTGTTCCGCCTTCAATAATTGCTTTTCCTTTTTTAATTCTTCCATTTTTTGTGCGGCATCTTTATTGTCAGTTATTTCGATTTTTGAGGGGGAATCGGCTATAATAAATTTTGTTACAGTTCCGGGCACCTAAACTTTATATGAAACATGAAGATAATTAATGATTAATTTAAAAAATTTTCAGATCAGAATTTGGCATATCCTCCTTGATCTACCCTTATTGACTTTAAGTTTAAGAAAAACGCTAATGTCTACCCGGATATAAATTAATCTGTTAATTTTAACCAAAGTGCTGAGCTACCAACTACAGCAATTTAAAAATGGGGGGGGGGGGGAAGCCTTTGATCCTATCTCAATATTAGAGGTGGTGTCAGAGGTGTCGGAAATCGGAAGAACCGGAAATCGGAACTGGCTCAAAAGTCGGAACTTGGAAATCGGAAATAAATTTTTTCACGGAAATCGGAATTCCGACACATCTCTGCTCCATCTAGACTTCATAAGCTTCTTAGGAGAGCTAGGTATTAGAATCCCAGACTTTTCTGGCCAGTTTAAGTCGGGTCAATTTTTCGGGTCAATACTTTCCAACACAAAAATTCTTATAAATTTTAATTTGTACCGCATCTTTTAGCCACGTTTTTCTAATTCCATCACGATTACTAAAAGAATCTCTTCTTGTCATAATTAAAATTAATAATTTTGTAGAGGCTGGACATGCTGGATTTAGATTATCGGGTAGATCAACAACATAGGGAATATATGCATTTTTGAAACTTATTGTGAACTCCTAATAAAATTTTAAAAAATATTTTGAAATCATATTATGTTACCCCCATAAGTATAATTGAAAATCTGTATCTTATAATGGGGTGTCTATTAAATAGAAGGTATATTATTTATATTTATCCATTAAATAGAAGGGATTTCTTAGGTATCTCCCCACCTCTCTATCTTAAATTGAGAGTATCTATTTAAGATAGAAAGGTGTATCTATTTAAGATAAATCTATTTATCTATTTAAGATAAAAGCCCTCTTATTTAGAGGGCTTTATACATATTATTGGGAGTATCTAATATAGAATATGTCTATGTCCGTCTTAAAAAATTTTTTTCAAAAATCAAACATTTTGTTTGTTGTAACGTTTATGGAAGACTGATGAAAATAATTTAGAGAATATTAATAAATATAAAAATAATAAAACTGTTAATATTAAAAGTAGTCTGATTAAAATATAACTGAGAAATCGGACACTTCTGAAATATTTAAAAAAATTTCAAATAAATACATAATTTAACAAATTTACCCATATAATCGAAGTGGATTTGTTGCTAAATTTAAATAAAATATTAAAGTTAAATTTAATTATAAATTTAAAAATTCAGAAAGAAATTAGAAGGATTGCCACAATATAATGAGGTAAACCCTTTTTCAGGACCTTTTCTCGAAAATCCATAAATTGGGGGAAATCGGGCGTGGAATCTCCATAGTAGGTGTGAACCGAAGCACCGAGGATTTTTCGGTTCGGTTCTTATGTTCTGTTTCGGATATCCGAAGAATTTCCAGGACCGACAACTCTACTACAGAATAATTTTTAACATTTTTTAACTATTAAAAACTAACATTTAATTCTTTTTCCATTTTTCCAACAACGGAGTGAGGAACCTTTTGAATAATTAGTTGCTTTCATTGTTCTATTATGTAATATGTAGAAAATAAAAATTAAAATATTATACGAGTTCTAAATTATTTTATACAGTTTATTAACCCTATTAAAAAATAAAATAAATTTAAAAAGCTTGGAATATTAACTATAGTAACAAAATTATAGTCGGATCTCATTTTTAGATACCTCTTGGAGCTGAAAAATCGACCCTTATAATGAGGTGGATGTTAAATTGGAGGTATCGTTTAGTCAGTTTCCCTAGCTACTGGCCGAACAAATTTGAAAAAAAACGCATACTATCTTGAGGAGCATATATTGAGAGGGGCATATAATATTGGGGTAAAGGAGGTATCTAATATCGGGAGAATTTTATAGGGTGTCCAACTGTAAGAAACGAACAATCATTAAATAAAATATTAAAACATTGAATAAATATATAAAACTTAAAAAGAATATTTAAAGAAATACGTGGCAAATAAACAATTCATTTCTAAAATAAAATTCAAACCCCCAAATAAAGAAAAATATTTTTTGTTTGTTTTATATGTAAAACTGTTCGTTTTTGGGCCAAAAAGTGGATTGATCTTAAATTAATTTAAGTTAATTTAAGCAAAATTTTAATTTAAAAAATAGATGAAAATTAGAGAATTAAGTAGAGTTTAAACACAGAACCGATCTAGTAAATTTAATTTTCGGTATCTGGTATAATTTTAGAGATTTTAAAAGTTAAGTCGATCCGGGTGTTTTGATAAAAATCGGGATTTTGATCCGGAAAATCCGGCCCGGATAAAAAAATTAAATAAAAAAAGTAAAAATAAGATAAAAAATTATTATCTTTACATCCCAAAACCAGATCCGGCATTTTCCAAATTCTAAAAACTAGTATTAACATGATTTTAAAAATTAAAAAAATTTTTTTTAATAATTTAATTATAAAAAAATTAAAAAAAAATTATGGATTTATTGCCAATTTTTATTTAAATAATGTAAATAAAAAAAGGAGAGGAGAGGAGAGGTAGTAGTGATTAAAGAGGGAAATAGATAACGTGACTGGGCCTTTCCTTTTTTTTAAGAATTTTTATTTTTTTGCACTTTATTTCCAGACGTTGTTGAAATGATAAGAAAATAATAACAAAAAAGGAGAAATTTAAGAATTAAATTGAAGGGTAACCGAGAGACGAGAGATGTATATATGTATCAGGGCCCCTGCCGACCCGATTCCAGATTTACCGAAATTGGCAATTCCCGACGTTTTTTGGCTCGGGAATTCCCGATTCCCGAAATCGGGAATTTTGTTTTTTTGTCGGCAGGATCGCTGAATATATATGGGGAGAGGTAAATATCATGAAAAACTAAAAAAGCATTTCTTGCTTTTTTTAGCATGAATCATGGAAGGAGAACACCTATGGAAGCTAGGCTGTTCCCCTTGCAGATGTTTTTGTTTTACGACAAAGAAACTTTGCTTAGTTTATAATGTTTATAAATCTTTAACACTCGCCATAGGTCAAGAAGAAATAATTAAAAACAATAATTTCACCAAGAATCTATGTCTATTACTAGGATATCCAAAATTTCAGATTACGAAATTTCTTGGTTCATTGAACTTTAAAAACGAAATTGCGGATCCAATTTTTTCACTTAGAAATTTCATCATTATGGATAAACCCTAACTTATAACCAACAAAACAATTTACTAAAATTATTTTGAAATTATAGCAAAACAAAAAATATTCAGTTCCTTCTTTCCTGATATTTTTATTTATTTCAAAATTTCAAAATTTGAAACAATAAATAAAAAATAATAATTATTATTAAATTAAGAGAAGAGATTTATTTTAAAAAAAGTTTTAAAGGATTAAAAATATTTATTATTTGAATTTTGCGATTAAAAACAAGGGAAATTTAAAAAAAAGAATAAAAAATATTTACCATTTAAATCAATATATTTTGCCTAATTTGGGCAAAAAATAATAAAATATTTAAATAATAATTTAGAATTTTTAATTGAAACTAAATTTAGCTTTATCACCTAAATAAACAAAATATTGCCATTAATGTAAAAGTTAGAGGACAGAAGGATCTGATCATATAGTGACGTACGAGTAGGTGTCAGATTAAGCTAGAGGGGACAAAATTCAGGAAAAATCGGACTTTAATGGGAGGTTGGAATACAATCACTGTGACAGATAAAATAGAGATATGAGATATGCACGATTGAATTTAAGTAATAATATTTCGCTTGAAAAAAGGATTAATAACTGTCTGTTGAAGTATGATTTCGAACTACTGTATATACTCTATTAATTACCCTGGGTAATTATTGTTTCGACCTCACTCTGGAGAGGGTAGTGAATAGAGGCGAAGTAATTAATAGAGGTTATTTAAGGACGGCTAATTATAACTATTTTTAAAGGAGTAATTATTTTTTCAAACTTTCGATGGAGGGGGTAACTAATAGAGGTGGGGTAATTATTTGAGGGAGGGTAATTAATAGATTATACATATACGGTAGTTTAAATAATTCGATCAAATAATCCAATCAAAATTGCTCAAATTTTTTTTGTTTTTTGGGAATCAATCCTAAATATGGGAGTGTGGTTCTCGTGTAACTAAATTTTGGCTCGTTAACATTTTTGATTAAAATTTAGGGTGTTAAATCAATTTTAAAAATTCCGACAATTAAAATGAATAGTTAGAATTTAGTTTAGAATAAATTTTTTGGTAAAATATATGAATAATATTTGTATGAGTTAACGTTAATATTCCTTAAAACGTTTGATAAAACGTGTCAAAAGCAAAAAAAATTATTTGTTTGAAAATAAAAAAAGTTTTTTTTATTACTTTGTTATTTTATTTCCATTCAAATAAATATTTAAAATAAAATGTCGAGTTGATTACAATATTGAATATTAGAACAGAGCAAGACTAATTTTAAGACCCCAAATTTTGTTTTTCGGTCAGATAAACTTCTTAGAACTGTGGCGGGGTGGGCCAAGTCCCACAAAATAGGAGACACGAGATTCACAAGATACGAGATCCTCAAAAAAAGGAGAATGAGATTTAACGAGACACGAGACTAAACCCACCCCTGATATGTAGGTAATTTCGTAAAAATTTTTCTGATTGAATGAAATTATTGGCAGTCTGTTTTTTAATATTTTCAGATCAGGTTATTTTCTTTGCTTATAAACAGAGGTGGGTCGGAACTGTCAGAGGTGTCGGAAATCGGAAGAGCCGGAAATCGGAACTGGCTCAAAAGTCGGAACTCGGAAATCGGAAATCAAAATTTTTTTCGGAAATCGGAAGGAAAAAAACACCGGAAATCGGAAGTCGGAAATAAAATTTTTTCGGAAATAAAAAAATTTTATTTTCAAATATATATAATTGTATAGTGGCAAATTATGTTGCATAAAAGGAAGTTCAATCCGAAATCAAGAATCGGAGATATTATTGAGGGGGTTAAAAAGGACATCGAAGGATTTGAGCAAATATTAGGGACATCGAGAGATATCGGGTGATTAAGGTACATAGAGGGATTAAGATTGATATCGGTGGGATTGGATTTGAGGTATTGGGATTATTGAATTTGAGTGGTTATAGAGGGAAGAAAATTTGAAGGGATTTAAAGAGATATTGTGGGATCTGAGGGGGTTATCAGAAAATCTGGCATTAAAAGCGATATTAGTGTATTAGGAGAGTTTTGGGGACCCACCCCTGCTCAAAATACAGAGCTATTTCCCTTTAAAATCACACTAATACCCCTTGAAATCACACCATATAACTCAAAGTCCAGCTTGATCCATCCTAATACTCCGATATACCATTCAACTTTCTTTTTCAGCGCCGCAGGCGAAAATTTTCAGAATTTTGGAAGATCCTTCAGCCAAAAATCTTCCTTTTTCAGCGCCGCAGACGAAAATTTTGAGGATTTTGGTGGTCCTTAAGCCAGATTTCTTCTTTTTTCTGCGACGCAGGCGAAAATTTTGAGAAATTTGGAGGTTCTTAAGTTAGAGTTCTTCGAATTTTTGCGCCGCAGGCGAAAATTTTGAGAATTTTTGAAAAATCTCTAGTCGGAAATATGCTTCAAAAATTCTCGGAAATCGGAAATTTTTTCAAAATTTCGGAAATCGGAAATCGGAAGGAAAAAAACGTCGGAAATCGGAAGTCGGAAATCGGAATTCCGACCCACCTCTGCTTATAAAGTAAATTTGGGAGTTAAAAATAATAATATTAATATTTATTATAGAATCAATACAAAAAGCAATATTAAAGGCAGATGAACAAATATTTAAAAAATAATTTTTTTTAATATTTTAAAACAGGGCTCCGATTCGTACTTTTTTAAAAGTATTGTACTTTTTTATCGACCTTCGTACTTCCGAAATTGAATTTGTACTTTTTTGAAAGTATGTACTTTTTTATCAACATTTTTGAAAAAACGAAGAAATCTGGCTTAAGGACCTCCAAAATTCTTAAAATTTTCGCCTGCGGCGCTGAAAAAGAAGAAATCTGGCTTCTTAGGCTCCAAATTTCAAAAAATTTTCGCCTGCGGCGCTTCTCAATGGCAAACATTCAATGGACGAAGGAAAGAAACTCGCTTGAGGTTAAGACTGTCAGAGCTTTGCTTCATGTGACAGCAAATTTTGACATGTCAACAAAATGCTCAGTTGAAACAAGAAATTATTAGAAAAGATTAATTTAAGAGAGAAATATAAAAGATCTGATCACGAATAAATATTTTCAAATTTAATTTTGAGTGTACTTTTTATTTGTAAATTTTCTCCCTATGTACTTTTTTTACAAGATTTTGATACTTTTGAGTGGCATTTTGTCGATCGGAGCCCTGTTTTAAAATAAGAGAGAGTTGCGAAAATTTGGCTACTATTTACGTATTTATCTACATATATGTATGTATTTTTGAGCTGCACTTTGAGAATTGAATTAATTTAAAAAGCTTAAAAAACTCAGTTTTTTGAATCTTAATATTTCTTAAAGTTTAGCCCTGGAAACTTATAATAGAAACCACCCCTGAAATGTATCAGCAATTAATGAAATC